GCAAAGAGGTTGTTTTCAATACCAGGAAATGTAAATATTATGACCGTGTGATCATGTCTTGAAAGGGTTTTCCTATGTGTGTAAACCTTTTACGGTACCGGAGCGATACAATTCCATGAACTCAGACATGAATACAATCCTTGAAGGGACAAAAAAAATAACAACATTAATCAAAACGCGACAATACGACAACATGGCATTTTGACAAAATGCAATAATTTACCATTTATTTTTACCGAAGGGGGATGAATATTTTCTCTGCTGGCTTGGTTTACAAGGGCGACAACGCGACAAACACCCTTTCCTTATCATTGATGTTGAACCTTTTCATTGAAAATATACTTGTCTGCAAGGAGGTTCACAGAAAATATGGTTGTTGTCACATCATGTGCTCTTTTATCATTACTTTTGGGATGTATTTTGATAGGGGTAGATGTCAGCCTTAATACTGGAACGGGTCGCCCAAACACACAATTTTGACATGTGGAAAACATGCGTTTTGTCTCTGACTTTATTATACAAAGCCTTGTCATAGAAGTATTAAGACACAGTTGATCTTTCACTGTCGTGGATCCTGGCTAGGAGAAAGGCTTTTGTGACTGTAATATTGTGTTATTTTGAGGATAAATATGTGGTATGGTTACTTCGTGCACGTGTTTAATTGTAAATAAGGTTTGCTTTGCCAAAAAGATTGCCCATCATGGAAATGTAGCCTATTATGTACAGTAAAGTACGGTTATAACGAACTCAAAGGGACTACTAATTTTAGTTCGTTATAACCGTAGTTCGTTATGAGCATATATACAGCATAACTACAGCAAATAGTCGGGACCATAAAGTAAGTTCGTTATATCCGTCAGTTCGTTATAAGCGTGTTCGTTATAACCGTAGTTTACTGTATAACCTTTTCAATGTTCTTGACTTCTTGTATTGCAATACATAATAGATGTCACCTGGTAGTTAGTCATTTTCATGATTTCAGGCCTTAGTGTGATTGCTCCTACTTGCGGTCCCTAACTCGGACATTCAACACGGACCTTTAAATGGGACACCTGAACATGTGTAAAAAGGACATTTGAATGCTATGACGGAATTCTAATTTAGTGTGGAATGTTATATTCATATTTGGACCCTGTAGGAACAGTCTCTGTATTGACTATACTGCTTGTCTGTGTAAAACTTTGGTAATATAATACCACTAAACCTGATGTGAGATATTGCTGACTGTAATAAATGTTATTAACCTAAAGTTGTTGTTTTTTCGTTTGTAATAATGTATGCTGTATATCCTTAGTTCTGTTTTTTGATATGTGACATTTTGGGGACTCGTCCGGGATCATAAACATTAAAAACATTTTGATAAAGAAAGACTTACAGCCATTTTATTGCATTTGGAAGGGGACATTCTTTAGTCACAAATATGTCTACAAAGCAATGAAAAATGGGTGAGAAGATTGGATTTACAGGGACTGACTTGTCCTTATTTGTGGAAAGGAACATCAGATTATATTAGCTGGAAAGGAGAGGTTTCAACATGAGCATGAACGGGAGTCAGCAATAGTATAAGAAAAAGAGAAATTGCTGCTTGAAAGAGACAATTTTGGAAGAAAGCTAAGTGTAGAACTCATGAGAGACAAATGAAAGAGTTAGAAACTAATCAGGACAGAGATAGCCACATTCCCTTACGCAGTCAAAACCAAAACTGGCCCCATTTGATGAAAAAAGGGACAATATGGATCTGAATAGATTTGAAAGATATGCTACCTGTAATCAGTAGCTGGAGGAAGAGTGGGCTAATTGCCTCTGTGCTTTGTTGACAGGAAAGCTTTTAATTTGGAGTATATTCTAGATTGGAGTTTGAGGCAGCATGTGATTATCAGGCTTTGAAGCAGGCACTTTTGAAAAGATTTCGTCTTAATGGTGAGGGTTTTAGGGTGAAGTTTAGAAATTTGAAGTTAATGAATCATGTTTACAGTTCGTTACCAGGTTACGGAGCTACTTGAGTAGGTGGGTTGAATTGAGTGATACTGTTAGAATATATGAAGGCCTATGCGATTTGTTGCTGAGGGAACAGTTCCTTATGACATGTGGCAGACCACTGTGCGTGTTTCTAAAGGAAATGCAGTGGAAAAGGCTAATGTGGCTGATCAGTATGCAGATGCACATCGAGGTCTGGGTCACTTGTGGTAAAGTTCTTCAGAAGGATTCAAGCTCGAGTGTGTATTCAGGGGCGTCTGTCAGGTGTAGTTGCTACATATTTAACACATCTGATCACTTATTTCGAGATTGTCCTGTCAGGAAACAGTATAAAAAAGAAACCATCGCGAGGAAACAGAAAGCAGGAGCAATAGCGGAAGTTGGTTGGTTTGTTGTTTTACGCCGCACTCAGCAATATTCCAGCTATATGACGGCGGTCTGGAAGTAACTGAATCAAATCAGACAGCCAGATGATCCCAAGGAATCATGGGTTTTACTCGCTCTCAAAAGGCTATGAAGGGGAAGACCACTTCAACATTGAAAATTGTTGATATAGGTCTAGATGGCATTACTCCGGTATGTATCTCTGAGCAGCGGGATCTGGACCCTACTTTCACACATTCGGAAGAAATGTTACATTCATAGGAGTGGAAACACTTTTGAATTTGTTAAACAAGCTGGTCTCTTGTATAGGCATTGTAGTTCTCCTAAAGTGGGAAAAAAGTTGTTTGTTCACTCAGTTGATTGTTCCAAAGATGTATCGAGATAAGGTGCTTAAACTAGTACATGACTCGGCCCTATCTGTCACTTAGGAATAAAGAAGAGCTTGGACAGAATTCAATCTCAATTGTTTTGGTCAGGGATGCAAGGAGATGTTCAGCGGTATGTATCATCGTGTGATATGTGTCGGCGAACTGTCCAAAAGGGAAGGAGTTATAAAGTCCCACTTGGAGTTGTTCCACTGATTGAAATACCATTCCGCAGAGTGGCTGCAGATATATTAGGACCTATGTTTCCAGTGACAAGTAAAGGCAATAGGTACATACTTACCATTTTTGACTTTGCCACAAGATATCCCAAATCTGTCCCATTGCCTAGTACTTAAACTTAATTCAGTGAGGTATTCTTGATGTCCCAGCAAATGAACCTGTTATTTGTTATAATGCTGTTGACCTGGCAGAACGGATTGTGTTGTGTCTAAGTGATGGCTGCATAGATTCAATGATAGAAGTTGTGTTAAGAAGGTCTGTGGCGAGTCAAATTCAGTTGACACAAGGTCGGACGTATTGCGCGAATGGCATAATAAGTATCCCATTTTGAGGCTGACGACATTTATAATGCTATGTTCATTAGCTTCTCTAACGTTGTCCAACTTAAATTCATCCACAGAAACCACAGGTATTAAGTGCAAACCAACATCGGTCACTGACTCTTTTCGGGGAAAAAAATAATTCAAAATTTGGTAAGAATTTAGACCATGTGCCACTCACTCAGCTGTTGTTGAGTAACGCCACATATTGCTGCTATTTCTACTATAGTACACCTCGTGCTGTCAACCCAACATGTAACACGTGTACACAGTACATTATGTTCTCATAATATGTATTGATCATTCAATTCGTCGTCGTATTTCTCGTGTATGCAATCGTATTGCTGTGGATCTATAATAATGTCAGCGTGGGATGGACTGCTCGACAGAACTACTATCTCGAATATCGGTATATGACGATCCCAATAGGTTCGAGAAAGTAGGGTCCCACTTTCAAAAAATATTTCTTATAGATATGTGATGTAAAAAGAAATAGTTCTTAAGAGCTTGGTTCTTTCAATGTCCTTTTAATTTACTTTCGACAAGTAGTTCGCAAATGACAGATGATGCATGTAACTTGGGATGCATGTAACCGTGCCTTAATGATGGGATTGGTGCCCAGTGCAGATTGGTATTTGAACTGTATTCACTTTTATTCACCATCAATATCCGCATAAACTCACTCATTTGTTTCACATTTGTACACTTTTTGTGGTGCTTTCTATAACTACGCTGTTGCGATTCCAATTCAGAATACGTCAATCTGTACCTTATCCCTTTCGTAAGATCCAACTAAAATGGGGATCAATTGGTCACAGACTCTGACTTGGATGCTTGTGTGTCGTCATATCCTAAGCATTGAGCAGACTCGGTTAGTTAAAAGCCAGTGTGGTATCTTCCTGGCTGCGACGAGAACTGACAAACGATCAAACATTCATGCATTGTCATAATTTGTCATTGACGCGACTCGTAACGTTAACAGTGACAGAACTCAAAGATAATCTGATACAAGGATGTGATATGGTCCGACCACTACCCTTTATTAGTTGAGGAACTGGTGACAAACAAGGACAGCCCTGGTTGGATTTCAGTATTAGTTTCTTACCTGTGGAAGTTTTCCTCATATATGAAGACGTAACATGCTTTGACACCGCTTTTAAGCTTGATATATATATATATATATGAATGAAAGATATTTTCTGAAGCAACTTCTTTTTTCACAACATTCCTGTCGTACGTCACCCTTATTCTTTGTGTCTTACGGTACTAGAAACAATGGCCCTATTCAATAAACGACCCAAGTTCAATAAACTGTGAGCAAGAGCCTTGAGTTTATTGCAAGGATGATAAAATCAACGCACTCAGGTTCAATGTCACGGACATGTTCCTCTTTATATCAGACGTGCTACATCTGTGCATGATTGCCTACAACAACGAGGAAGTATTCACCGGACAGATTCAAACTAAATACAGATATCTGCTTCACTACACTGTTTCATATCAATAAATGTTTCGGTGTTGACAATATGATTGGTAATAACTTCCTCGTTATAATTAACATCTTATGTCAATGTCTATGGATTTACAGTCGTGTTGCATATTCAGATGAATTTCACCAAGTGTTACGTAAAAGAACAACTTCCATCAATAACTGTTTTTCCAGCACTGCGACTCCCCAAAATAGACACACAAATGTCGTGAAGTGCATCATTTTATTGACAGAACATAGCAAAAGAACACTTTTACACGTAACAGGACAATATAGTAATCGGAAAGTCTTAAGCAACGTAAACATATTCACAATAGCAACAAAAGGTAAACAATATACTGCTAGCAAAACGGAAATGTAATTGATCCAGACTTATATTGATGAGGAAAATTCAACAAATATGATTGAAATAAAGATCCAAACAATCATATCCAGTATAACAGATTGATATTGTAACAATGGGGTGGATAATTAAAGATGCCATATTACTCTTTGGCAAAAAAGAATATTGTGAGACAAAAGTAATGTTAGATAATTGTTATCATCAGATATAATGGCGCATTATATTCCATCTTTAAGAAAGGTGGCACTTGATGGCTTAGGAGATACAAAACAACAGCGATTGGTTAAAACCTATAATGATTATTGAATGTTTTCATGTAAGGCAGTGATGCTTGTCAAAAGAAGAATACAAATGCATTTGTTTACATTTCACGTACAATCAAACAGATTCGCCGAATGTTAAACAACTCGTTGTTTAACATGTAGCCCATGATTAATTGAGTTGTAATGTATCATTGTAATCTGTTAACTGGTTATAAAGCTTGTCATATATACATGCTTGCATATTTGTGATTATTTCAAAGGTAAGGCGTTGTATCAGGTTATTTATTCCCTGAGACAGCCAATGAGATTTCTCCAGAACATAAGTTTCTCCCCTTCCAATGGATATTCCAAATAAGAATCCGATTGTATATGATACAATATTTCCACTGGAATTTTGTTGGTCGGAATGTGCTCCATCATCACAATCAGCAACACATCCCTACCTGTAGACACACTCTCCATGTGAGCCATCTGAAGCTCATGGACGCACCAGTGGCTCTTTAAGAACTCTCTTGACAAGATAACCAGCGTTCGTTTGCTGGTTTTGACAGCTTCGATGATGTTGTGAGCTATAGGACGGCCAGGGGTGAAGTCCCTCTGATGGAAGTTCAGCTTCATGTCTGACTCATCCTCTAGCTTCACCAGGAGCTCATTGACAACAAAATCACGGTCTTCTTCTGCGAAGGAAACGAAAGCATCGAACACAAACGTGTGATTGGATGGATGTGTTGTGCGGTATCTATGTCGTGCTGCATAGTACAAATATTTCAACTTCCAACGGAATCGATACAGTAGTGAACAAATCAGAAAACTAAGAGTAACAAGGACGACTAACGACATTCCGACAAAAAATCCGAAATGATAAGGAAAAGATTGACAGGAGACGTTTAAATCTGCCACAGTCTTCTCCAGGTTATCAAGAGTCACCCTTTTCCCATTATCATAAAAGCATATATACTCTGAAAGATTTCGAAACGAAATTCTGCCTGTAGCATTAGCTGTTACCATCCATGAGAGAAATGGAAGGTTGATGCATGTGCATTGGATAGGGTTTTGTGATAGGTCCACTGTCATTTTATGATGATCCGAAAGTTTGTCAAGGCTAGTTGTAAAGTCCTCCGTTAACCCAGGTAATTCGTTCCCGGAACATTGTAAAAGTCTTAAGTTTTTCATGTGACTTATATCAAATCGTAAGGCATATATCCTATTCCTAGAAATGATTAGCTCTCGCAGCGATGACATGTTTGAAAAAAGAATAGATGAGTAGTTATTTATGTAGTTTGCTGATAGGTCCAAGATCTGAAGCTGGCTCAGTGATCTGAACATATCCCCTCCAGAGATACCTAAAACAGTGCCTAGCAGATTGTGGGAAATGTTCAAACGTTTAAGATTCTGAAAAGAACTGAAAAAGTCCGATGTGGCATAATTTGCAATATTATATGAAAGGTCTAAGTATTCAAGTTTTTCAAGTCCATCAATAGTTCCATTCCATTTTGTAAAAAGGTTCCGTGAAACATCAATTCGTGTAATGTTGTTCTCAGTAACTGCAAAACTTCCGATATGAAAGTACAATTGTGAGATTGAAAAATACACTTTCTGTAGGTTTGGAGGTAAATGAATTGTAACTGGATAGGATGAATGTTCATCGTCCAAGGAGGTGGAACTTAGGCGTTCACTTAGAACATTACAGTCGGTGCAAGTTGAAGTTTGTTTGAAATCGACCAGAGACTGAAACGGCAGTTTCTTATTGGCATAACCTCCTAAATCAACCACTTCTAATCCCACTAAAGATGAAATATCCCCAATGTAAGTATAATATTCAAATCTGTTTCCCTTTAAATAAACCTTTTTCAGTGATGGTGGAAGGAATCTAAGTGCCCCTGCCTGAAATACGGTTACTCTGTTCCTATTGGCATGTAATTCAGTCAGGTTGGTGTGGTTAAGGTTTTTACAAAATTGCTGTGTAATGTTAACGCAAATCGCGTGTGGATTTACTATTTCATCTATGAATAATCCTTCAAGTGATGATGCTATTCCATGTGTAGCATGTGTAACGCCTTTGAATGTAAGCGCATTATTATGAGACAAGTCCAACGTTTTAAGATGATGTTGATGACGAAAGGATCCCTGTGCAATAAAGTGAAGATTACAGTGAATAATCTTTACATGTTCAAGATAGGGTAAGTATTTAAACGTGTGTAGAGTTATATTATACATGTCACATTTATTTTTGCTACTTTCGATTGTCAGGTTAATTAGATTTTTTAGTTTCGAAAACCCTGAGGCAAATATTTTATCTTTTAGACCATCGACATACAAAGTCGTAAGAGACGACAGTCTTTGAATTGCATCACTTGGGTATTCCACTGTAGCGTCATCTGTGTCAATGTTGTTGTTTAGGTACAGGACAGTCAGGTTTTGCAAGTTTTGAAATATGGAGGAGGAAAGATTGTTGTATGCTAAGTTGTTTCCTTGTAATGACAGATAGCGTAGGTTTGACAAGTTAGCAAAAGCTGCCGTTTCAATGAGGCTTACACTGATGTTTGACAAGTCTAAACGTGTCAGTAGAGGTATCGTCACGAAGGAATCATTGGAGAGTTTGCTCACATTGTTTCCACTGAATAACAACTCTTTGGTATAATTCGGGAGGAAAGATGGTATTCGATCCAGACTTTTGTGGCTGCAGTTTGCGATAAAACTTCCGTTGCTATCAAAGCACTTGCACGGTAGACATAGGGGTTGATTGAAAACCACATTAACCACAGCAACACTGGCAAGAAGCATGAGTGTCCACAGACCATTATGGAACTGCATCCTCCTCCTCGGCGAGAGATGTTTCCTACGTCAAAAGGAGAAATTAGAAAGATATAATTTGACAAATAACACCATCCACTCGAAATGATTTTAAACAGTGCCATGGGTCCCGTTCCACAAATCTACCTCAACCACAGATCCCATACGTTAACAATGACGTACAAAAGTGTTAGGGCAGAGGTCACTGTGTGGAACGGGTCCAAACTCGTAGTCATGATTGCATAAGTGGGTGAATGAGTTGGATATAACACCGCTTTGAACAGTATTTCAGTTATATCACGTCGTTCATCATAGTGTAAACACACTATATATGTTTAAAATGATTTCTAATATCTCTGGTCAAGAGACCTAAAACTAACTGATATTGTTGATATATTCGTAGGACATTTAGAGTTGACACCATTCAAAAACTGAAAGGTTAGTGTCAAATAAGTTTGAATTTCTCATTTCGGCTATACCCATCTTACGGATTTACTGCAATAGTTCAAATACCAACCTAGCATGCCTACCGATTCATATATGTAAGGTCGAGCTACAAAGGCATATGTCAGGACTCGTCGTACCCAGGAACATCATCAAGCAATTGCTTCAAATAACTTTATCTCCAGTTCGAAGACTTGACGTGGTAATGATGTGAGCGACAGGCATAGTTCCGAAATGCACACACCACTGTAGCTGCGGCACGTTATGCACACAGCCTTAACAGATCCTAAGTGCTCAAAACGTTTTAGGGACCAATGACATCAAAGACAGATGATTCAAACCTGGTAACAGGAATACATAATATATATAATATGTATTGCATTTAGGCGCATTGACAATTATACGGATTTATTAACTTAACACTAGAAAATCAGCCAAGCTAAATCATTAATTATTTCGTAAACAGTTTAAAGTAGAACTCACAGTGTGAATGCGTCTAAACAGGCGAATATGCAAGCTAGCAGGAATGGTTCTAACTTGTCGTCAATGTCCTGGTACAGTTAGTACATATACAATTTACAAAATCACTATCCTTGGTTCTACGATATTTATTGACAAGGAATTCATGGAGAAATGTTCTAAATTTACAAACAGCTCTCAATAGAGCTTTATCTTGTAATATACTTAAATATGTTTCTAGTTGTAACACTGATTTGATACTAGCATAATGCTTGAGAAAGTGTGAAGAGGAAACTTGTTGGTGCTAGTTTTGCTGAAATGTGTCTAATAATCTCTGTTTAAATGTATGGAAAAATAGCTCTTCATCACCAGTGTCTTGTGTGATCCATACAAAGGAAAATCCAGTATTAAATAAAATGCTTCAGTACTAATAATGAGGTAACTAAAACCCGAAGTACTTCACAATTAAGGATAAACAAGCAATAAAGATACAATAACATGACAAGTAGACATTCTGCGACACTGGTGTCCAAGGCCGTACGTTGTTGCAAACCAACTGCAAGCATACTTATCACATAGTTCGCTTGAGGAGTAATAAACAATCTTAAGTGCGTTTATCATTAAACTTACCCTGTTGTTTTCACATAGAGGCAGTTTAGGAGCGTGTTTGCGTCACACAGCGTCTCTTGTGCACCATAACCTTAGCCTTAGTTTTGCCAATGTTGAAGTTTATATTGTTAAGAAATTGAGGACGCTAAATGTGTGTGGTGTGGGCTTTTGAATTAATATTAACTTCCTCATCACAATCTTCGTTTTGAGAGAGGAAAAATATGACAGATCAGAATATTATATAACAGGCTCTTTACAAAACGTGAGGTGAGGTGAAATTCGATTTGACGTCACTCTTATAGATCAATGTGCATTTACGTGTGTGTGTGGCTGTTTGTACTAGTACGGACTAATGCTGATTTCATACTGCTAGTCAACTGTGGCAGTTTCACATGAATACCCAACTAAGACACAGTATACTGACACTGAGCCGACCAGTCCTTGTTTTAGCCCCTTAATGCCGAGCGCATGACAGGGTAACAAAAAGTACCATATTCAAACTATTTTGGTATGATGCGGCCGAGGATCGAACCCCATACCTTCCGCTCTCCGGGCGGACGCACATGACCATGCTATACTTGGTACCATCTTATTCAAATGTACCTTTTGTACGTTAAATTGTCCTTATGAAATGAGTAAATACAATCCCCATGCCAGGTTGAACTTTGTTGGAAGAGTAAAGGACCCAGATGCAGTGGTAACATCACCATTTTCTCTTTAGTCAATGCACAACATAGACCACACGCGCATCCAGAAACACCTCAGCTAAAGTTGAAACATATTCAATGTGAAGTTATTAGATACTACAATATGACTAAGTTAATTGCTTTATTTAAAAACTTGGATATGGACTTGAATCTGTATAATTCACTTATTTTTACTATTCACCAAAACCTTTATCATATGTTATACACATGCATTTATTTGACCTCAATGTGGACCAGAATGGACATACAAGTACAAAGTGATATTCGTCGTCAATAGCTGGAATTATAATAACACTTACATACTACTTACATACATACATGAGTCGAAATATTCAAAAATAGTATAATCTATTCCAGGATTCCATTCAATAGTCTATCTTGTGTGACAGGCATATTGAGAAGATCTTCTGTAATTATGTCAGAAAATATCATCATTTTACAGTCATCATATAACATATCCGGTCCGGTACATTTGTTAGCGTTGTATTATTAACTGTCAACTAATCTCTCAAATGCAAGAAGCAGTCAGTGACACCACTTCACCAATTGTATTTTCAACATAATAGTGTGCAATGAAACTTTTAATCACATTCCAGAAGGCCTTTTAATTGTTGATGATTTTCACCAAACATTGCTTCTTATATGAAAAGAAATCATTTGCAGCCGCAAATACATAGTCCATTAGTCCATTCAAAGCCAATTGGCAAATATCCCTTTTCTACAATTTACCCATTCCTGCTTGTTATGTTTATGTGGCGATGTGGAATTAAACCCTGTCCCGTGAATGATAGTGATGCATCCTCAAAGAGACACGAAGAACTGATTTCTCTCATATACTCTGTGAAAGAGTAGTTTTCGTCAGATATGAATGAACTGAAAGCAGAGACTAGTCAACTGACAATATAATAAGTCTATATATTGTTTATGAATTTACTAATCTGAACTGTCTTCCTGAACCAGGAAACAATAAAGATATTGTCAGAGTGAAATCAAATGTGTAAACAATGTACATCTATGATATCCATATACAATGACCCTAAAGGTCTCAGAGCTACTAGTTATGTTATACACATTCAGTAAGGCTTACTTTTTTTATGAATTTCACGTTTACTTACTCTGGAGTGAGTCCTATTTCAAGAGAGAATATTAAACTTTAATTATAGGTAAACCAAATCTCTATGATTTGGGGAGATGCTACAAACTGAAGGTTCTATACAGTTTCCTAAAATTATTCAAACCCTCATGACATATCTTTAAAAAGAATGTTGAAGTTATATGTTACACACGTCTGCATGACAGATCAGGAAAGGAAGTAACAAGTTTGTCAAAAGAGGTAGGACTATCAATTTCTTTCCACGAGGATGTCTTCAATACCAGGAAGTGTAAATATGACGTGCGGTATGCTAAATAATTACCTCGCATGATCATGTCTTGAAAGGGTTTTCCTGTGTGTATTATATACTCCTCATAAAAATTTCCGCTACAAGGATGATTTTGAAAATAATGAGTTTATAAACACAAGTAGAAACTTATGGAATGATGTTACAGCAAAATAAATCTTATGCAAACAAGTAACCGAACGTGGCAGAAAAAATTCACTATACTTGAACCGGGATAGAATCGTCCAAATATACCCACTCTTGAAGTTAGACTCTATTTAACTGCAAGTGACGTGGCCAGAGCCATAGGGATGATACGGGGTGGTTTGACTCAAATAGCCGTTGCAAATCAGTACAAAGTTCATCGTGGCGTCTTTTCAAGAGCGATAACCCGGTATCAGCAAACTAGTCTGATGACTGAGAGACCACGCACCGGCCGGCCGAGGGTGACAACTCCAAGAGAGGACCGTTACCTGGTTACACTCGCCAGGAGAAACAGGTTCACCTCGGCAAGATCGCTCCAGAATGACCTTCAGAGAGTGGCAGGAACAGGGTGTCGACGCAACAGTTCGAAGCGACTCCATGCAGAAGGTCTGTGGTCTTGAAGAATGCCATTGACTGAACACCATCGACAACAGAGGATGATTTGGTCGAATCATCATCGAAATTGGAGGGTCAACCGTTAGCGAAATGTTCTTTTCACAGACGGGTCAAGATACTGCCAAGACTTCAACCAAGACGATCGTTTTGAAGGTGGAGGCGGCGTGATGGTGTGGGGTGGCATCCAGTTTGGCCGAAGTACCGATCTTGTGGTCGTTAGATGGGGTACCATGACATTCCTCTGGCACGAGAAGCTGGTCCTTACTTCATCTTCACGGATGATAACGCAAGGATATTCGAGCAAGAAACGTTACTGATGTCCTCCAGGCCGACAATATTACACACATGGGCTGGTCAGCGAGATCACGAGACCTCAGTCCGATTGAACATGCTAGGGACATCCTTTGGAGGCGTGTTCATGGTTGCCATGTTCAGCCCCAGACTCTGGATCAAATTAAGAAGACTTTTCGGATAGAATGGCAGAATATTACTCAGAAGCAACTCGATCGTCTGATTTGGTCAATGCAAACACGTGAACAAGCCTGAAGTCGTGCCAACGGAAGGGGTATACACGACACACGTTACTGAACCTTGTGAGGTCATCTCAGAGTGAGTGAGTTGGGTTTAACGCCGCTTTTAACAGAATTCCAGTTATATCACGGCGTGTCAGCTTAATGTGGGAGGAAAGCCCGAAGTGATGCAGGTGTCAGACGTTTACCACTTCGGTGAAACCCACGAGCACGGGTATGGTGCTGACAAACCTAGAAACATAATCGGGGCGACCCGGGATTCGAACCCACAATCATAGGTTTCTGGCGTGCCCAAGGGACGCAACTCTGCAAAACGAATCGCGGCGCCTTAGACGACTGGGCCACCCGTGCCCCCTGTCATCTCAGAAGGACTTGATGTTGTAAAATCCTTAAGATAGATAGTCCGAATCGTACAGACAACACATTTTGATGTTATTAAGGGTGTATGTGTTTCCACGTTTCTAACTGTTATTGTTCAATGAATGTTTTGGTTATTGTGCGCATATCTTTAATTTTGCTATTACATGATTCAATAACTTGACACTTGTGTATACAAAAATATTATCTTGAAAATTATTTTTGTTTCTAAACTTTTTGTGAGGCGTATATTTGGTTGACGGAGCGATACAATTGCACCATGCGTGTATTCAGAAATGTATGGATTCCTGGAAGGGACAAAAAGTGACAACATTTATCAAAGCGCGATAATGTGCTTAATATTGATATTTACCACAGGGTGAACGCGACAAGCACCCTGTCCTTATCGTTGATCTTAACTCTTATCGCTACAAATATACTTACTTGTCTACAAGGAACCTTCTTCCCGAGGCAAGCGTGTTCACTAGTCTGTATCAAAGCCTGGCTTCTACTTTGATAAAAAGGCTCGTGGACGGTCATACCCCGGCAAGATGACAGGGAATATGCCTCGTGTTTGTACATTTAGGTAACACGGTAGAACAGAACCGTATTACCACCTCACCCCACTCCTTATATGTATTTTACTTTCCCTGTATCCGAATGTATATTTTCATTGTTGCATTCTATTGGTTGTTCAAATATATATAATTCATTTGACAAGTAAATTGAACAGACTAAATGCAACAAAAACAACAAATAATACGCCAATAAAAAATCCAAAATAGCTACATTCAGACATTTC